GTGCGCGGGGGCCACGGGTGTCCGCGGCGGGGCGGGGCGCGGGGCGGTGCGCGGAGGGGCGCGGTGCCGGGCCTCCACGGGCACACGTGGCTCAGCCCCCCCCCCAAAAAGGCACTCCCCGCCGGCGAAAGGGGGCAGTTCGTACCTCAGCCCCTGCAGAGGTGCCGTCGGTCCGGTCCGATCCGGACGGTCGGTCGGTGGGTGCCGGTGCGCAAGTGGCCGCCGGTGGCTGCGTGAACGGCGGAGGCTCCCGCCCCTGCGGAGGCAGTCCCAGGTTCGGGGGGGGGCCCTACCTGCCGGCGCTATGAACCTGACAGCCGAGAGTCACCGCATCCCGCTGAGCGACGGGAACAGCATCCCCCTCTTGGGGCTGGGCACCTACGCCGACCCCCAGAAAGTAAGTCCGTGGGCGCCGGGACGCCCCGCTCCGCTGGCGGGGGCAGGGGGCGGGGGCAGCCTTCGCTGCAGAACCCCCCGATCCTGCCTGTTCCCTTCCCCCTTTTCCTTCTCCCCTGGCTATTTCTCTGTTTGCTCCTTTCTTTTCCCCCCGTGGAAAAGTTAAAGCCCGAGTTCTCCCGTGAGCGGTGCGGGTAGCGCGCAGAGGAGGAAAAGGTGGGGAAAAAAAAAAAAAAACCCAACCAAAAAAAAAAACCCAAAAAAACCAAAACCAAACCAACCACCTCCAAATCCCGCCCGGTCTGCGGTGTGCTGCTCACCGCCCCGCACCGGTGGGCGCACGGGAAGGGGGCGCGGGGGACCGGGGAAAGGCTCTGCCGCTGCCCCGGGGACCGAGGGGTCCGGGCGGTGCGACCCCCGGTGCCGCCGCGGTCCCCGGGACGGGATGTACGAGGCGGGGAGGGCTGGCTCCCTGGCAGCGGGGCTCGGAGCCCTCCGTCCCCAGAAGCCCGCAGCCGGGGAGCGGGGGACGGAACGGTGCACCGGGTTCCCCCCCCGGGCCGGTCCCGCCGCCCACCCCGCGCCGAGCGGCAGATAAGACGAGGGATTTCGGACCGTCTCGCAGCTGGCCCCGACGCTTTCCAAGGAATGTTCCTGAAACAAAGACCCAAATTCCTGCATCCTGATTCCTGCGGCTCCCCCAAGCTGACTGCCAGCGGCCAAACCGGGCTCAAAATATTCCGCATCCTCCGGTTTTGCGTGTCCCGGGCAGGCATCCCGGCTGGCTGGGCTGCGTGGAGGCTGCGGGGGCACACCTGATGCTGCTTCTCTCTGTGCATAAGGCAGCTCACAGGCAGCTCGTTAGCCTTTCGCTCTCCTAAACTGCCCGATCTTTCAGCGGTTCTTTTCTGTTTGTTTGTTTGTTTGAAGAGTAGGAAAAGAGGTACCGCGGCCAGAACCCTTCTTGTGCAACCGTATCAGAGTTGAGATGCAATATTGCGTGTATGACTCCGCATACCGCAAGGTATTTAAAAATACCTTTTTTTAAAGAAAGCTCTCGATTTAAAGCTATTTAACAACCACTAATTGTACTACGATATATTAAAAACAGCTTCGAAGACGACTTTCAATAAACACTGCTGCAGCTTCAATAAACACTGCATGAATGATGCAGAAAGGGTGCGAGAAATCCCTGGGGCTGCCGATCACCCTGGTTGACAATGCGGGTTCACACGGGGGAAGAATTAGTGAGAATCTGCAATTTCATGAGTTGGGCACCGTCCCCCACATCCCCAGAGTTTCTGGGGATATTTTCAGCTAGCGCGTTCTTTGAATAACGCTTAGGGAAACAAAATTAAGCTTTCTAACGGGAGTTTTAAAGTAGCAAAGCAGAACGTTGCATAATTCAGTGACAAAATAGCACTCGGCAAACTTGAAGCGTCTCTTTCCAGACTCGTGTATCGTGCCCCCAACCCTCGAGTTGCGATTTTACAGGCGTTTTAAGTTGAGAAAAGTGAAGCTGCCAGCAGTAAGGGGTGCTCCTACCTCTCTGCACTTCCCTCGGGCGGCTCAGTCGCCCGATGCTGTGGCATTAGCCAGGCTGGGGCAGGGAGGGCAGAGCAGCAACTAGCTCATCAAGCAGAAATTAATAATTTTTTAGGTAGGGATGATTTTCAGGTGAATCAGCCCCGGGTAGTGGTTTCTTGCTTTTCCCATGTACCTCCTTTGTTTCCCGGTGACAGAAGCAGGGCGGGGGGGGGATACACACGACAGGACACAGGAGAGGACGATGAAGACAGGACATTGCTATGGCAACTCCAATTTAGAGCAGTTGAAGCTGCTGTTTAACTGCACCCTTAACGGGGATGGGTGCATATACCCAACTACCCATTCTCCCTCCCCCCCCCGAGTTTGTAGGAGTTTGATTTTCTGAGCTGTCTCTCTTTTTCTACACGATAAACATGTTAGAAAGTTATGGGTGGGAGGAGGAGCTGAGAAGAGGTAGAGAAAGCAGCGCTAATAAGGCACTTGGAAATCCCATTTTTGCAGAAGACCAGGTGAAACACTGTTCTTTATCTAGAGGAGCTGGGCTGAAGATTTACTCTAGAATTAGGACGGTGTATTTGAGTCGGGGAACTCATCACAGGGGGCAGCTGGGGAAAGGCAGCAGCAGGGTGCTGCGGGATTTTGTTGAGGAATTGTTTGCGGCTACTGGCCGGTGATGGGGCAGGACATTTAAATAGGTCACAGTTAAAGCTTTTCCACCTCAAAAAAGGCTGCTTTGCTGATAAGAGGAGAGGGGGCTTCTGCCAACACCTTGCTGTGGCAGCGAAGTGCCGCTTAGCCGGGACAAGCTGCTCCGCCGGGTGCTGACTTGTGCCTGGCACAACTTCCACTGGGATGCCTGGTGGGGTTTCTGTCCTGTTCCTCCCGCCCAGAGAGCTGAAAGGCTTTGTGGCAACTCAGGACCGTTTCAAGGTTTATCTTAACAAGCCAGGCTATAAACTAGCACCGACATGTTTCCCTTAAAATGCTTAGCTGCAGCCTTTTGTGGCTGAATTGCTTAAGAAGCAGCATCTGAGCCACCCATTCTCCAGCAGTGGAGGCAGGCAGCTGGTGGTAGCAATGGTGCCAGCCGTCCCCAGCACGCTATTTCTGCTCATGAGTCAGATCTCCGCGACTTCGAGTCATTTTGTGCTTTGATATAAAATACAGAGCCATTCAGTTGTCAGATTATTCATCTTGCTCTTGGAAGCAGATTTTCTCTTTTTTCTTTTTTTTTTTTTTTTTTGTTTCTTCTTTTCTTTCTTTCAAAGGTTATTCACCCTGGCACCTCCATCTCAGAGCAGCTTGTCCAAAACAAATCTGTTTTCTCAATCTCGCGCTATAGCCCAGTAGCTCGTAACGAGCCTGGAGTGTTCTTCCTGAAGTGCAGGAATGCTCTCGCTGGTTAAGGAAACCAGGCAGATCTAGTTAGCCACGGAGCAGGGAAATCTGCTTCTCTGATGGCTGGTTACAAGAAAACAGAGACCTTGGCCAGCCTTCATGTTTCAGGCTTTGTCTGGATAAACTGCACGGCGGTGCCTTCAGAGTTGAAATGTGTCAGCAGCTTGTCTTGCTCCTCTTAAATAACTTAATTGTTCTCCAAAAGACCACTTTGGGAGATAAGTCATGCTTCTCCAGTTGTGAAACAACGAAAAGAAAATAAATCTATTGACCGAAATTTGGTCCCTGTGCACGTTCACTGACTCAACGAAATACATCACTCAACTGGAGCAGAGCTGGACCACTGCAGAAAAGGTCTATTTGATAATCAGATTAATTTAAATTTGAACACTTTCCCCCTAGATGTAGAAAGCTTTTCTTCTGACCGGATACAGGTCAGGATGACAAGAATTCAGCTAGTTCTTCAAGACTGAAAACACTGCTAGTACAATGTTGGGGGTTTCTTTTTGCTTTATTGTCCTAGCACAGCAAGAAAGTGCAATGAATTCCATTTGCTATCAGCTCACCTGCTAGCAGAAAGAAAGGTGTGTCTTCACTGGCTCATAGAATCAGTGATAAATTTGGGTTGTTTATCAAGAAAAGCTCTTAGAAATATTCTGTGCTGCTTTAATTAGTGTTTCCTACCCTTATTTTTAAGGGAAGGTAATGATTGTACAACTGAAAACCTTAGTTTGCTTTTTGGTGGAGATTTCCATGTGTTGAAATCAGTCTTGCATCCCCTTCCACAAAGGAAAGGAAATGTGTAAATTGTACCAGATTCTTGCCTATGTAAATTATGCCATTCATCCCAGCAAGGACGGACTCGAGCAAAACACTGAAAGTCCCAGTCACTTGCTCCTTCCCCTGTTCTCTCCTCCCGGCCCCAAGCATCCCCTTCTCCTTATGAGCCTGGGAGGGAACCACAGCGGGAGCAGTGAATCTGGACTATCAAGGCCCTCCAGACGGCTTTAAAATTTGAGGCCAACTCTGCCTCTGTCTGGCTCTGCGGATCCTTCTGGCAAAGCCCCGCGCGTGCAGGAGCGGCTCTGCCAAGGCTCCAGCAGATGCGCCGTGTCCAGCGTTCCCTCCCCGAGGGCCCCCCAGCCGTTGACCCAATTCTCCGGGGTATTAAATGGATTGTGCGAGCGGGGGGAGTGGGAGAAGGAGGGAGAGGGCAGCCCCTTTGATGAGCCTGTGGCATCACCCCGTGCCACGGCAGAGCCAGATCAGCTCCCCAGGCTCCCACCACCTCCCAAGCGTTGATACTGGGTTCCCAGCACAGCCCAGCAAGCAGTACTGGTACCCATCTGGAAGCGGATGGGGTATTGGGGACGAGCAGGCTCAGAGGGGAGAGGTGCTAAAAACGCTCCTAAATCCTGGAAATCCTATGCCTCGTTAAAACGGCACTTATGCCAGCTTCACCTTATAACTCATCCCTGTCAACACAGCTAGGATCATCAGCCCAGTGCCTCCACTCGCTGCCTCCCTGGAAGGTCAAGGGGCCTTGGCCACAGCTCCTCTCCCGCCTTCCTGTTTTGACTGAGGGAGGAGAAGGCTCGGAGGGAAGGTTGTAGCAACCGCACTGTACACAGGCGCTCCTTCTGAAACATAAGATTGGGCAAAGCGCTCAAGAATAGCACTGGGTGAGGGTTTTTGGCAAGTTGCGACTTCGCTAAAAACGAGGTTCTGAGGTAGCCAAATCCATTCATAAATTGGAAGCAGTTTTGTGGAATATTTTCAGGCAAAACAAATGGCAAAGCATTTCATTTTGGGCACTGGCAGTACAAGCTGAGGAATCAAAGGATTATTAAGGCAGTTGGAGGTAGCAGTTGCCTTTCCCTGAATAGCCCGCTGGTGAGGGAATCCACACAGGCAGTGGGAAACCAGATTCAGTCCTCATCTCTGCCTCTGGGGATTAAATCCATATCACACAGCCCAGGGAAATAACATGATCGTGGGGGTATGCGATAGCTAGAGAGAGGCAAGAGGAGACACGTACAGGCTGCCGTGGGAGGA